AACCAACAGATGTAGCTGATCGAGGATTAAGTGACGAGGAAATTGCTAAACAAGACACAGCATTTAGAATAATGTTTCGCAGATACAAATTGACATCTAAAGTACCTGTAAATGCCAATAAAGAATTTCCAGTGATGAAATTCACATTCACAATAGTACATCAAAATATAGACGGTTATAAAAGTCGTCATCATAAATTGAAATTCTTGCCAGGACATTATATTGAAGTGCAATCAAGAATTAAAGGACAAGTAGTAATTAGAAGTTACACACCAATAGAAGGCAATATTGTTCAAAGTTTCAGTATTTTTGTTAAAGTGTATCCAGATGGGTTAATGTCACGACATTTGGTAAGTCCCTTGTAACAATTTATAATTATATAATTAGTGCTATTATTAAAATTCATTAGTCATTAATTAATTAATTGTTTGACTGCTTAATAATTACGCTTTAGAATGAACAATTAAAAGGATACGAGATTCAAGTGAGAGGACCATTTGATGTTGGAGATAGAGAAGTTTTGGAAACATCATCAATATCCCAAGCTGCTGATATAACATCATTATATAGAAAATCAAGTTTATATACAAAAAAATATATACCATTTATATCTTCATCAACAAGTTCTTTACTTAATCCTAATACTCATGATGGTCATTGGAAAGAATTATACATGATTTGTGGTGGTACTGGAATTGCACCAATGTTACAAGTAAGATTTTTATTGTAAAAATTTACATTCATTGTTTTCATTACTTATACTTATTATTATTATAATAAAATAGTTGATAACATACCATTTGGAATTATCTATGAGACGTAGTCATGCGTCAACAATGCGTAATAAAGAAGTAACAATGCATTTGTTATATGGTAATAAGAAAATAGAGGATATAATCAATGGTATAGAACTAGAAGAGTATGAAATGAGTAGTAGGGGTATGCTAACTATAACATATGCACTAAATATACCAGATCAAGGTTGGAAGGGGGAATATGGTAAAATTGATAATGAAATGATTTCAAATTGGTTAAGTTCAAAATCAAGTAAATTTGTTATTGATGATGAAAGTAACAACAACAGCCTTAGCAATAACAACAGTAACAATGACTACAACAACAATAATGATAATTATACAACAACTTTACCAAATTCTCCTACTACTCCTCCACAATCACTTAAAAACAATTTATCGCATGTTGGTTCATCATCCAATAGAAGTAAAAGGCCAAGTATTGTACAATTTAATATAAATAACAATACTCCAAATACACCAAATACGCCAAATACGCCAAATTCGTTAAATTTACCAAATTCACCAGTTAGTGCAAGTTCACCATCACAACTTTATAATGATTCTTTATCATATGTTGGTTCATTAAATAATGATAATGATAATGATAATGATAATTCACCACCAATAGTGCCACATCATACAAGACCTCATAAAACACCACCACCAATTATGATGAATAATAATAATCAGAACAGTTATTATAGAACATCAATTAATCCTGAAAGCGCTTTAAGTCATAATTACCAACAACATTATAGATCATCATCAGCATCATCAGCATCATCAACATCAACATCACCACCACTACAACGACGTCAACAATCACAATTCCGAGAATATTTAACAATGACACCACCACCACAATCATCAAGTCCTCTATTAATTACTAATTCAATAACTGATCCAAGATCTGTAAATGATGATAATTATATTATTAGATTTCATGGTAGTGACGGTACAATGAGTGAAAGATATAGTAATGTTATTATTAATAAGAGAAAACCTAAACTTGATCCTAACAGTAAAATAATTGTTTGTGGACATATAGATATGATAAATGTTGTTGAGCAATCGTTGAAAGGTCTAGGTTATACTGAGGAAGATTTTATATTAATAGCATAGGAAATCTTTGTTTATTTTTAATTATTTATTTATTTATTTGTTTATTTTATATATAGTGTTAATGTTAATTGTAATAAGTAAAAATAATAATAAATTACATGAACCAAGTGTTCATCAATCAATAATCATCGCTTTCGTGGTGTGCTCTTACTGTTGTGCCACGCAAACTCGTTCAATAAATTTTTTTTCTAATCAAAAGTTGCCGTTGAGCACCACCAATAGCACTTCGAAATTAACCGATAAGTTTTATAGTTTTATCAAATTCGTATTCCGACGTTTTTTTATAATTAAAACTTTCTAGAAAGGTCATCCAAAATCGGCATTATCTTTTCGCTTCAAAGCTTAGATAAAAGACTTGATAATGGCTGAGAAGGTGTAAAATACTCTAAGCTTTCATATGGTCATTGCTTTATGAGGTCTTGTATGATGTGGCACTATTGGTGGTGAATTATCATTATCATTATCATTATCATTATTTAATGAACCAACATATGATAAAGAATCATTATAAAGTTGTGATGGTGAACTTGCACTAACTGGTGAATTTGGTAAATTTAACGAATTTGGCGTATTTGGCGTATTTGGTGTATTTGGAGTATTGTTATTTATATTAAATTGTACAATACTTGGCCTTTTACTTCTATTGGATGATGAACCAACATGCGATAAATTGTTTTTAAGTGATTGTGGAGGAGTAGTAGGAGAATTTGGTAAAGTTGTTGTATAATTATCATTATTGTTGTTGTAGTCATTGTTACTGTTGTTATTGCTAAGGCTGTTGTTGTTACTTTCATCATCAATAACAAATTTACTTGATTTTGAACTTAACCAATTTGAAATCATTTCATTATCAATTTTACCATATTCCCCCTTCCAACCTTGATCTGGTATATTTAGTGCATATGTTATAGTTAGCATACCCCTACTACTTATTTCATACTCTTCTAGTTCTACACCATTAATTATATCCTCTATTTTATGATTACCATATAACAAATGCATTGTTACTCGTTTATTACGTATTGTTGACGCATGACTACGTCTCATACACAATTC